TATTATTGCTGAAAATTTGTTGTAATAATACTACATCAGTCTTCTTTTTTAAAAACAATTATTAAAAAGGGTGTAAAACATATGGAAGTGGAATAATTTTTTTTAATTAATCACTGGTATCTAATCTATAGACCGACTAATCCAGATCATATACTGCAGAGACGAAGGCGGCCCTCCCAACCCAATTTACTCCATTCACAAATGACAGGGTTTGAATATTTGAGTTTATCAATCGAACACATTAACACTATTCTTATGATTGTGGATCCATTAACAAAAAGATTGTCGCTCAATATATTTAATGAACATATCAAAAGTATGGGCATTATTGGGTACCATAATTGATATTGTCTTATACATGCTCCTATGTACCTTGCTCATTTAAATATCGTTTCTGATTTTTCAATATTTTGTTTTTTATGATTAGTATAAATACATGAATGAATTACTTAAGTATTAACAGGATATATATCTCATTATAGATCATATTAAGTTTGAAGCTAATATTGTGATACATGGATGGAATTATGTTGAACTAATAACATATTATCGTTATGATGATGATTTTATGATATGATCAACGTATAAAATGATTTAGTTTAATTTAAACATATTATGATTATCACTAAACTATGGCGTAAATATCACATGGGCCAAGTGGGAGAATACTAGATAATTTAATTCAAAAATATTAAGAGTTTAAATCTTATCGGTTAATTAAGGAGATACAATTCAAATCGATATGAACATGAAGTGATATGATATTAACATAAAAAGAAAGATTATTTTATAAAAGTTAAGTCCTCTCCCCCTACTCATAATGAACGATAAAAGCGACAAAGAAAAGTTCATATAAGAGAGTTTGTACAAACTCAACAATCACCTTTACAACAGAGCAAAGAGTTCATACTAATAAGAATTTAGAGCTCGAAATTCGTTAATAGTCTCATCAGATAAAATTAGTGTTTTATATCTTTGTTCTATTCTTATTTTACAATAATGAATCAAAGAAAGACAGTTGTAATTAGGGATGGCAATGGGTCGGGTCGAGTTTTTGAGCCATCCGACTCGACCCAAGAAGAAAGGGTTCTCCACCCGTGACCCGACCCGACACGACAAAATTAATGTTTCACCCGACCCGACCTGACCCGAATATATGACTTAGAAACCCGACTCGACCCGACCCGAAATAATAAAAAAAAATTTAATTCAATAAAAACAGTGACTTAATTGAAAAAAATTATATATGGAAGGATATTATTGTAATTATCCCTAAATATATAAGATAAAATTATATATATTTTTCGGATCAGGTCGGGTCGGATTTTTTTTACCCTAAACCCGACCCGGCCCGACCCGACCCGAACAGTGCATTTAAAAAAAACCCGACCCGAACCCGAAATTTTTTTAAAAAAATCCGACCCGATCGGATCGGGTCGAAACCCGTCGGATTCGGGTTGAGTTGCCATCCCTAGTTGTAATCACTAATTTTATTTAGGCCTACCTTTTAAACCCGTTTTATTTATTTTAAATAAATAAACCAAAAATCTCAAAATATGAAAATTAAGCAATCCAGTCCTTTTACAACACACCAGGCCCAAATCATACTAAACCCTAGTTGGCCCATAACTTAAAGAAGATTTGGCTAACCCTAACCCTAGCCACCTTTTCTATCAACCACTGGATCTAAAGATGATCCAACGGCCTAGATTAAACCCTAATCTTTAAGGGTCTCTATCCTTTAGCAACCACCGCCAATCCGCCGCCAACCATTAAAGCCGTCGCCGATTCCGATTGAGCCGAGAAAATCGCAAGAAATCCGGGGCATTTAATGCCTCGATTGTCCTGCTGAGCCCATGCCTATGATTCGGTCGGCATCAAACCGTCCACGCCAATGCATCATCAAGCCACCATGAACAAGAAAACAAAACAAAAAAGAAACAACAAGTCAGAACAAGAAGAGAAAAGGCTTTTCAATTTTATGGGTTTTTGTAATCTGTAGGGGTTTTTTCCGTTATTCAAAAACGAAGCAATAGAAATCAGAGAGCTTTTTGGCAGATCTTTTCATTTTTTTTCCATCAGCCATTTTCTTCAAAACAAGAAATAGAACGAAATAGGAACTAGGTTTTTGGGTTTTACCTTTTGTTTTAGAACCCCACGGTGGATCTCTTTGGCCTCTTCCCATGGCCGCCAGGGGTCTTTTCGTAGGGGAGTGGAAAGGTGAGGCCTTTTGGTTCGTTGAGTCCCAAGAATGTGAGAAATCGGGGTTCGATTTAGAGGAGTTTAGGGGGGCATTTTGGTTCTCTAGTTGGGGTAAGGAGGGTAAACGAGTCGAGTCGAGTTCTAGTATTGTTGAGCTCGATTCGAACTCAAAAACTTTAAAAGAAAGCTCGATTCGATTAAAAAAATCAAAAGTTAAAAATTATCAAACTCAACTCGAACTCGAAATATAATATTGAAACTCGACTCGAACTTAAAAATGTTCGAACTCAAAAACAAATCAGGAGCTCGATTGAAGCTCGAGACTCGAGCTCGATTGAAGCTCGATTTTGAGCTCAATTCAAACTCAATTGCCCCAAGCGCAAAGATGCCTTAAACCTGTGCATCCCCTCGTCTTTTATAATAGACTCAAGGATTCTCTCGCTATTCACCTACTGATGTGAGATATTATGATTGTTTTCAATTTGGAATTCACAATTGGATCCGCATATTTAATAAATTTATAGTTTGGTATGTTGTATTTTAATTTTTGTATTTAATCATATTTTTTTAAATTTGCTTAATTGTTTTAAATGTTCATGTGTCATTTATGTTATTTTTCATATTATTTTAGTTTAAACCGAATAGGATCAATTGTATATAAGACCCTGTAGTTTATGCACATTTTGTATTTAAGTCATTGGTTTAATTCTAATTTTGGAAGTTTAATTTTACATTTACTTGAATTTAATCATCATTCTAAAGTTAGTATATTTAGCTTAAATTAGTCCTCACATTTAGGTTTCTCTTAATTTAGTCTCTATTTAGGATTGTTTTCTTTAATTAGTTGTGTATATTTATTTTGCATGTTGATATGTTTATGTATAAGTATGCGAATGATTTATTTAGGAGTCACATAACATCATTTTGCATAATTTGTATGTTACCTTCATGTGCATAACTTAACCCCTATCATATGATCGGATTAAGAGTTTAGTTTAGGGTTAGGGTTCATTGCAAAGACATTAATTAATCGACTTGGTACCGATTTATGAGGTAAGTACAATATAGTATCTTGATATTAAATACTCAAACCCTTGATATTTATGATATTTGAACCTGAAACCTCAAAATATAACAACAATTTAAGAAATTAGTTATTAAAAATATTATCATTAGATATATATTAAATATTTGTCATTAGATAAATAATTTTTTATTAATTTAAAATAAATATAAGAATATTTATTCAAAAATAATTTTTAACTATTTTCAATTTTACTATTGTTTGGTTGTTTTTTCTTATTTTTTTATTTTATTTTTCTACGTTGTCAGGTACTTGTGCAGTAAAAAGTTAAAAAAAAATCAACCAAACACGTGTAATCTAACATGTGCTTAATTAAATTTACTTTTATTTTTCTTTTAGTGATATACAATGTAACAATTAGACTTTGGTGGTTAATTAAAAAATTAAAATTTGAGGGTAGTTGTATTATAGAATTTTTAATATATTTTTAAAATTTATAATTATCAATAGTGTATTTTTAATATATTTTTAATAATGTAATTTTAAAAAAAATATAAAATTATAATATAACATTTTTTTTCGAGTTGCTCACGAGCTTTTCGAGTCGAATATTGAGTAGCTCATTTCGGCTCGTTAAGAACTCGAGTCGAGCTCGAGCTCGAGTTGAGTCCATTTGATCCGAGTATTTATCGAACCTTGATCGAGTCGATCTTAAGTAGCTCGCGATCTATCTCGTCTCATTTACAGCTCGGGTTAGAAGAGAAAAGAAGAGTTTTATGTAGTTTTGGGATCGGTTTAGACATACCTGATAGTCGTCGTCTTTGAGTTAATCTATTTCCCACAATTTTCCTTAATTTTGGCCGTTCACTATTGTTGCTAAGTCTATGGTATTTTATTTTAAACTTGTTTGTTTTTTTTAATCTATTCTTTATGTTTTAACTCATGGTCTTTGTTCTTTCTAATTTCGTTTTGTTAGGTTAAAAGTTTAATTGTGTTTCCTTTTTACTATTAGTTTACTTGTTATTATCATATTTTATGTTAATATTTTATTTACTCGTTTCACACTATTTATTTATTTATTTCCTTTTAAATGTAGGTTACTGGATTTAAGTTTAACTCTTACTTTCTGTTAGGATCTTAGTTAGAATAATTAGAAGAATTTTAAAATATTCTTCGCATGTGTTCCAGGTTCTATTTTAATCATTCAATTCAAATTTTAAAATTTACCTGGATTTAATACCTAAAGCCTTATTTTTAGATTTAGTTTAATTAGGTTCTGCAATTTATTCTTGACTGAAATAAAGCCTTAATTTTAGGTTTAGTATCTTGTAATTTTTTATTATCTTAATTAGGATGATAGTTTGAATAGTCTCCGCTCGTGCTCGAGCTTCTATTTTAATTATTCGATTAATTTGTTTAAAATTTATTAGGGTTTAATATTAGATCATTCGCCTTAGATTTAATTTCACCTTAGTCCTTTAATTTAGGAGAAATTTTTAATTTGATTCTCGTTTTTGCTCAAGGTTCCATTTTAATTATCCGAATCAATAAGTGGTTAAAATTGACTAGGTTAATGAATAGAGCCTCCATCATAGGTTTAACTTCACATTTAATCATTCAATTTAGGAGAGTTCTTAATTTGATCCTCGCTTATGCTCGAGATTCCATTTTAATTATTCGATTCAATAAATTATTAAAAATGATTTGGGTTAATATTAGGGCAGACATTTTTAGGTTTAATCCCTTAGGTTCTTTAAATTTTGTATTTGACATTTTAAGTTAGAGGGAATCCTTAATTAATTCATTTAGTATAATTAAGTTTCATAACTGATTGTTTGATTGTATTTTGTTTTCAAAATAAGGCAATGTTGGGTTAGTAGTTATCTCCCGCTTTTGTCCGGGGGTGCCAGCTATTAATTCCTGAAGTAAATCAACATCATTTTTAAAACCTCGCATCATGATTTTAAAATAGATAAGGTAATGTTCATTTATTGGGATCAATAACGAAGCTTCCGCTTTTGCTTGGGAGCGGTCGTTATTAGTTTTGGTAGATCGACATCCTTCTCAGAATATTCATACATGGTGATTTTTAAATTAAATAAAATTTTGAACTTAATATTTTTAATTTAAAAATATAGGGTAATCGATTAGGTATCAATTTTGGGCGTTGTGGGGTACTAATCATTCTCCTCACATAGCCGACTCTCGAACCTTATTTCTTATTTCGCAAATCAAAACTTGGTATTTTTAGTAAAATAATTTTTTTTTAAATGACATGATTTTAGGTTTTTCAATCTCACCTTAAAAATGATTGGTGGCGACTCCCATCTTTTTATTAAAATTAATTTATATTTATTTTTCAAATAAGTCGAATCGGTTTTCGCCAGCGAAAATTGGTTACGACAATTAGTATTTAAAATTATTAATCCAAAATTTGTGTTAAATTTCTAAACGAATTTTCGCTAAGTAATTGAGTTCAACCAAATATAATTGAATACATTTGACCATTTTATTTTATTTAGTCGATATTAAGTTTGAAATGTATAATTAAATTAAATTCAAGTTAAATTTTATTAATTTAATTTGAACTGAAGTTGAAATTAATTTTAAATTTTTAAATTTTGGTATTGGGTTCGAACTCTATCAATATCAAATCAATAATATTTTTCACTTTTTAAATTAATGTATTTAACATATATAATATTTCTTGAAAAAGAACAACAAAATAGTAGGTTGGCTTAATGGTATGGTGTTGAGCTATTCACCATCAACCCATGGTGCAAATTTTAACTTCTTTTTATTTTTAAACCAATCAGATGATGATTTAATTAGTTTTAATTAATCTAATAAAAAATAATTATATAAAATCAATTTCAATAAAAAATTGTAGCACCAATATGTTTGTGATTTTGTTTTGCTGATAAGGTACTATGCATGGATATGCCATGTCAATATTTTTTTGTCTACATGAATTCGTTAAGTTAATTTAAACGTTGATCGTTTGTTATCTAACGATTTACATTTGCAGATGGATTATTTTGCTTAAAATAAAATATTAGAAGTCAAAGTGCTAAAAAGAACAAGAACTAAAGTGACTATTTTTTCAAATGTTAAGGACATTTTTAATATTGTGCCTATAATAAACTATACATTTAATTCAATAAAATATATAATTATGTATCTAATTACAAATGCGATATACTATTTTTTGGTACAAAAAATTTTAGGTTAGAGGTGGCTCTCCCAGTCCAAGGCCAGGGCATACCTAAAACCTAATTGGAATTTATATATGAATTTACAGATTGTCCACCAAAAGTCACGGTGGTAAGATTTGAACTTGGCCTTACAAGCTCAAATTCCTAAATCTCAATCACTTATACCAACGTTCGTTGTCACAAATGCGATATAATGAATAGTATATTTCATCTAATGAATTGTATATTTAATCATCTAATGATTATATGTTTAATCAAATGAATTATAAAAAATGACATTAAACTTTCAAAGTTTCAATTTATAAGTATCTTTCCATCTCCCACTTTGTACAAAACTGAGACAATTGTTATTGTTTTTATATATATGGGTATGTAAATTTGGATATCAGATCGAATTCGATCTGAAAATTCATATATTTAAAATTTTGGATACCTAAAATATTAGTTTGTATCTGATCTGAAAAACTTAGATATCCGGACTTCGGATTAGATATCTGGATCCAAATATAAAATTTAATTTGACAAAAATTAACTTTAAATTTTATATTTTGCGACTTAATGCAACTTATTTGACACCTCTACTATATATATTATATATATATATATATAATATTACTCACACAAAATAAATAATTAAATATCCTAATTTTTATTGAGCTAGATCTTTAATGGGCTAGTGAGTTATTCTTTAATGGGATAAATGCTATCTAAAATCTAAAAACCTAATTTTTTCGAATTATCAGATAATTCGAAATTGAAATATATCCGATCTGATTATTTGATTTTTTCTGGATATCCGATCTGAAAATAAAAAAATGGATCAAATATCTAAATTTTCTGATCGGATCTTTTTACACACCCCTAATTAAAATTCACTTACATAATATAAAATTCTTTTAGTTTTATAAAAATTTAAACATATTAAATGAGTGGAAATAGACTGTGAATACGCGGAAAACATATCATTCATTCAAGAGGCGGTTCATACAACATATATACACCATTACATATTGGTGCTCAAAGCAAAATCCGAAGGCAAACATGAACAATAAAATCTCCAAAACAGTAATAAAATAGGACATGCCACTTATTTATTGCATATTAGGGTTCATCTACTGGGGTAGCTTGTTGAGTTTGCAATACCTATAGTCCTTGTATTTCTTGGACTTGTATTTAGGAGGATCTTGTGGATCAACAAACTGAGGAAGTGGCCCGACGACATACTCCGCTGGTGGCTCCACGAATACCGGCCATGACATCCTCGTTTTCTCCTTGTCCACCGTGGTCCGGTGCTGCACTGCCTTGTACTTCCCATTACTTAGTATCTGCATTTGTTATGCTAATTTCATTAATACTTTTAATCTATGTTGCACTTATACGGATACATGAACATAAATAGAGATGTGAAATGATAATTTTCAAAATTATATGGTACATGTACGATAAATATAAATAAATTTTAAAACTTCTATCTTAACTAAAACGAACATATCTTAAATTTTCAACATCTAATTGAGGCATTTTGATATGTGTTAGAAAGTTAACTGAAAGACGATTCATACGTAAGAAGGCATCTCAATCAAAAAAAATATATGGATCTCATCCGAAAATTCATCGGAAGTTAGTTGATATTACAAATTTCAAAACCAACTTTCAATTTCTTATTAAAAAATAATTGTTATTATTATTACTGTTGTTGTTATTATTATTTTAAGTTAAATCTAAAAAATAACTATGTGTACGTGTGTAAAGGTCAAACATCATTCCCAATACATCTAAAAAATCTCTTTGATGCACTCAACTAATTCTAGCTGTCAGGGGCAGAGCTATAAAATTTGTTTTAGAGTGTCAAATTTAGAAATTATTTGAAGAATTTTTTTTAATTGAGAAAATTGTATTCTAAAACTTTTATTATTAATTTTTTTTTAAATTTAGAGTCAATTTCTTTTTTAAAATATGTTAAAACTTTTCTAAAAGGGTGTCGTTTTGGTTTGTTTTGTTTATATATATATATATATATATATATATAACAATACATATTGGCTCTGCTAGTGCTAGTCATTCCCCTTCAACATGAAATATCTTTGATATGTACCCAAATTATACCCGTCGTGTCATCTCAGGAATGTATTGGATACTTGAAACGGCATTGGATTGTCTTATCCATGCAACATAGCTTTTGATTTACTATAAATGCTTACTAATTGAAAAAAAAGAGAGAGAGAGAGAATTAAGGGATGGATGTAACCTCAATCTGATCGCCAATGTGAATAATGAGGGCGCCGGGGATGTATTCGGCTTCGATCCAATGGCCATCTTTGAAGACTTGCAATCCAGGGACCTCGTTGGGGACCAAAACGGTCATGAGAGAGATATCAGTGTGGGAAGGCACCCCAAGAGTAAGATCGGGCCGTGGACATGGCGGATAATAATTTATCTTCATCAAATACTCAATCTCCTCGCCTCCTGCTCCTTGTTTCAGCACATTTTCTTCAAACCCTAGCCCCATTGACAGCCATTTCAACAGCGTATCCACCAACTTTCTCATCTCCTGTGCATAATCCTCGTTCACCTCTCTGCAACCAAATCAGATATATTGTCTTATATTCAAGGTTAGAGTACACAAATGGTCTCCCGAATACATGATGTTTTGTTGAGTCTTAAACTATTAAAAGTTACAAAATGACATTTCAACTAAGTGTCATTGTTTTGTTGAGTATTTGACTAGAAAAGTTACAAAATGGTCATCCGATTATTCATATGTTCCAAAATTATTCTTTTTCGTTAAAAAATTGATGAACGCTTGAGCTGGATTTTAACCTGTTGGCTAAGATATGATAAAATTTGATCTCAGAACTGTTTGAGCTATATTTTGTGGATCGACTATCTGTTTATTTTATTTTGTCGAGCCAATATTTTAAACATTATGTCATTGAGTCAGCGCCAGTAAACATCATTAAAATTTGATTTTATCATATCATAAGCAGCATGTTAACGTCTAGCTCAAACAACTGTTAATATTTTAATAGAAAATGACGAGTTAAGAACATATAAATAGTCGGCAATGGCGGAACACAATGGAGGTTGGTGGGCGTCACAACCCTACAAAAGTTTGAAAAATTATAATTTAAACCTTAAAATATTTCAAAATATTTCATTTGGCCCTTACAAAATTTTTAGAAATTCATTTTAATCTTTAATTGTTTAATATTCTTAATTAAAACCCTTCCATAGTTTTTAAAGCCTCTCAAAATTTCAAAAATTACAGTTAGACCCCCAATCTTTTTGAAAAAATATAAACTGATCCCTTCAATTTTTTTAAAGTTTCAATTTAAACCTCTGTTTAAAAAAAATCAAAATTACCGCCCAAATTCTATCAAGTTCCGCCACTAATAATCGGATGAACATTTTGAAACTTTTAATAATAGAAGAATTAAAAAACAATATCCTAACTCAATAGACCACTTTATAACTTTAATAGTCGATAATTTAACAGAATAACATCCTATAACTCAATTCCATTTGTATCCTTTACCCTTATACTTAAACCAAAAGTAAATAATTATCTCATGCATAAACTAAGGGGATAATCACCTGTAAGAAGGAGGATTTTTGGGCCAGAACTGGTAGTTAATACAGTTAGGAGGCCATATCCTGTGGAAGAGATGATCAACCCAGTTCTTCTTTCGATTAACATCTCTGGCAAGCTTGCTTCCGTACCCTTCAAGGGAAGGTGCACCGGGTGTGTTAGCGTACACCTCTTTCTCCTCTTGTGGAAGATCGAAGAACTGCTTGCCAACCATCTGCAATCGTTGGATCAGATCCAAGGGTATCCCGTGGTTCACCACCTGGAATATCCCCCAGTCCCTGCTGGCGTTGGCCATCGAACGGACGATATCTGCCTGATCAGGGTGGCTGAAATCGATGACGGGGATATCGGGGATCGGACCATGGAATGTTGTGATCGCCGGCTGTTCATCTTCGGGTCGGATGAACTCTTCGGGGATGTTTTCTTTGGTTAGAGACGATGAAACAATGGCCTGCACTCGCTCCACCTCCATTTTTCTTCTTCTTCCCTTTAGAAAACTGCTTTGGCTTCAGCTTAATTGCCCACTCATATTTGGTGCTCGACTGTTTTATAATAAACGTCCAAGTAACATAAAAATAAATAAATAAATGAAAATACTAAATAAATAACAAAATGGTAAACTATGTATTTAGTCATTCACCTATTTCCATAATATTGTTTTGGTCATTCAACTATTTTATTTTTTAAAATCATATTTAATGTTCATTTTGGTCACTCGCCTTTACAAAGTTAACGCTTAAGGGTTACTTTTGCCCATGTAGTAGACTCAATTTATCATTTTTGCTCCTATTTTATTTCGCATCAATTTAGCGCTCGAAGTACTTTAGGGGTATCATCCTAACCCTTGAAGTTTGTTGATGGTTTTGACTAACAAAACCGTTAGACTTATGCTCTATGGATTAAGAGATTATGTTAAAATATTTACTAAACACAACAATTAGAAAAAATCCCAAAATTTTATTATTTATTTCAGTGAGATAAAGGATTATGTTAAAATTTTGGAGATGATTTCTAACCGTTGTGCTTAGTAAAAATATTTTAAATATTTTATTATTCATTTTTTTAATAAATATCACGTCATCATCAAGTCACGCCAGTAATATTAGCTGACGTGAAAATTCCTGGCATCTACAGATGCAGAATGCTAACGGTTCTGTTAGTCAAAATGGTCTTCAAGAGCTAGGATGATGCCCCTAAACAACTTCGATGGCTAAATTGATGCTAAAATATCATGAGAGTGAAAATGATAAATTGAGTTTACTACAAGGGCAAAAATAGCCCTTAAGCAAAAAATTAATGATTATTCTGAAGTGTCACCATAAGTAATGTCATGTCATCTTTGAATAAAAATAAAAAAATTTATCATGTCAGCAATTCTTTTAAATTTTAAAGGTAGATGATCGAAATAAAATTAAAACGTAACACTATGTATGATTTTGAAAAAAAAAATAGTTTGGCAAAATGGAACCATAATAATAGGTGGGTGACTAAATACGTAATTTACCCTAAATAAACTTTCTAAAATAAAACACCAACTTAAAGACTAAAAATTTCCAGCCATTAGATGAGAGTTGGTGGCATAATAGTTAATCTAAACTGTTAGATTTAAAATAAAAATCATAAAATAGGGTTGAAAAATATAAAAATGACCAACAATAAGTTGATATAGTGAAATGAAGCATTAAATTTTTAAGCAATGTTAAAGGTTTGAACTTTGACGTTAGAGTAAATTAGGTTGGAAGAGTCGCCATCGCTTCTACAATACGCGATCTAGATTAGTCAATTAATTGATTAAATATTAATGATTAATTCAAAAATAAATTAAAATTATGAATTTAATTAAAAAAATGATTAATCAAAATTCTAAGCAACGTGGAGCCTGGGAGTTCACTTATTAGAAAGAAACAACCTCGAAAATAGCATGACAGTATTTTCTTCTACTTTAAGCATTTCTTTAATATATGATTAAAAAAAAGTAAAAATTAATTATAATCTAAAATTTTATTAAAATCATAATTTTTTAGATCAAATAGAATAATGTTATAAATTTATATTATCTGTTAAGTTAAACATGATAATATTTTAAGTTGAAATTCGTTTTAAATTTAATTATCGTACATTAAAAAAAATAAAAAACCGAAAAATGATAAACGGTAAAGGCAAGAGAATAGAAAATAATAATCAATAAATAGGTTTGAAAACTATAAAAGTAAATTAAAATTATGAATTTAGTTAAAAATGATTAATCAAAATACTAAACATACGTGGAGCTTGGAAGTTCACTATTAGGAACAATAAACCAAATAAATATTATAAGAGTAGTTTGATATTATTTAAGTAGGTTTTTAATTTGAGATTTTTTAGATATAAACAATTTTCGTCGAAAAATGTTTTTTTATTATTAATCCGGAATAAATACAAAGTAATATCTATTTAAATATAACTCTCAACTATTTGACATTTAACACTCGTATCTCTGACATTCTTTATGCTCGAACTTAAAATCTCAAAAAATAACAATAATTTTTTTTATCAAAGAGGTGGTTTAATTTATTTCTACTAAAAAACCCAACAACCAAAATGAGATGCACAATATAAATTAATAAGCATAAAACTTTGAAAAACCGGGACAACAACAAACAACCACGTAAAGAACATGGCAATTTTTTCTTCTACTTTCAGCCATTCTTTCGTGTTGTAGATGAATGATAAAACGTTTGGGATCTATCATAATTAGGAATGAGTAGCAGGTTGGTTTAATTAATAAATGAAAATTGATTTAATTTATTTTTCACAAATCAATAATAATCGAAAATTAGAACTGATTTGAGAAAAAAACTGAAATACCTTGATATATAAAATCAATATCGGTACGAACAGGGTTGGTTCAAGTGGTAAGTAACTTGATATTGTTTAAGTAAGACATCGAGTTCGAGTCATTGTGTATGCAGAAAAATACATGCTAAGAGACTCACCGACCAAAGTTAAGTGTACAACATTAATTGGTTCGAATTAGTCAAAACGAAACCTTAAAATCAGAAGGGAAACAAAAAAAAAATCAATATCGGTCATGCAATTAATCGATTAACTAAAAGTATATTAGTATTATTTTACTTTTTTAAATCATATTAGGGTAAAGACAGTTGGTTGTGTGTGGATGTTATTTTTTTTAGAGATTTTGGGTTCGAACCGTTATTATTTTGCCTAGAGATTTTGAGTTGGAGTAGATGCGTTTACAGAGTGTGCACACGTTGTCAATTGCTTAAGAAAATTTTAAAATATATTAACCTTATATTCATCTCATACAAGTCAAATTTTTTTTTAAGAATATTATAATAATTAATTTAATTTCATAGTATTAAATATTGCATGATACTATTAAAAAAAAGGTAAAAGGGTAACTTTTGTTCTTATAATAGCCCTAATTTATCATTTTCGCTCCCATCATATTTTCGCATTAATTTAACCTTTGAAGTTGTTCAATTGCATCATTCTACACCTTATCTCTAACTTAAAACCCTAAATGGGAGGTTTTAATTTATTGTTTAGAGGTTATAGGGTTTATTGTTTAGAGGTTATATGATTATCAATTTAGGGTTTTAAGTTAGGGGTAGAGTATAAAATAATGCAATTAAACAACTTTGAGGTTAAATTAATGCAAAAATACGATAGAGATAAAAATGATAAATTGGGTCTCCTACAATGACCAGAAAAAATCATTTTAATTCTAATTTTTAATAGTTCTTTTACTTTCGAATTTCTATTTGTGTCAAATTGAACAGATTGATGAAAACGTAATGTATTTTTATATTTTCATATTTTTTAATATTATAAATATATTTTGTATGTTTCTTAAAATTATGTAATGTTTATAATTTTTAATATTATTTTTATTTTTTATAAAAATATAAAACGATCAAAATAGTCAACATTGGAAAAATTAACGAGTCTAATATTTTCTTCATGAATTAATTCAATCTAATAAAAAATTAGTAATAAAAAAAACTAATGAAAATTTTAAATTTTAAAATATTTTTAAAAAATTAAGAACAAAAAATATCATTACACCATCGATATTTCTATAAACTCGCTCACATGATTTAAGCTATGATAAATAGTAGGGTAAATTACACGTTTAATATCTCAATTATTGTTTTTGTTTCATTTTAGTTATTAACTATTTTTTGTTTTAAAATCACATCTAAAATATAGTTTTGATTTTATTCTGGACACACACCATTTAAAAAATAATAGAACTATTGATGTGGTCTTTTTTATTTTTTTAATGATTACATAATATTATTTTATGACGACACATCAACATCATTATTAATTTTTTAACGCTAAATGATCAAAATAAAAATTAAAATTAAACATTAAGTATGATTTTAAAATAAAAAAAGAATTTGATTAATATACAATCTACCCTAAAAAGTAATGCATATTACATATATTTATGTCAAGTAGGTGGTAGGCTTTATAACGAGGAATTTAAGATCATTAATTACACAATTAATAATGGAGAGGACGTCCAACCTCACCCAACAGACAAATGTAACATATAAAATCATAATTGCAATTTGGTAATGTATTAATGGAATGAAGTTTAGGTAGAGTTTTTTTTTTCTTTTAAATTATATTATTATTATTTGGTATTTCAAAAAATTTATAATTCAGTTGGTCTTTAATTTTATTTTTTAAGAAATCACTAATTTTATTCAAATAGGAAATATCTTAAATTACAATAAATATTTACAATCATAATCAAAATTAAGCACATAATTAGGATAATTTCCTATAATCATTGAAATAAAACTAGCAACTTAAGATCATATAAAGACCATACAAGGAAATATTAAAATCTAACAAAGAAAACTCGAACAAAGATAGATACAAACAGATTTGTTCGCATCGACAAACGAACCATTAAGGGAATCAAGTATTAAAAAACCACCGAAAAATCGTAAATTAGATCTTGACCAATCTTAATAATGTCTAATTAACCCTTAGAAAAAAGATAAGTAAAAACAACGACCAAAAGACAGAAGAAAACATGTCAAATGACAGAAGAAAATATGTCAAAAAATAGAAGAAAACATGTCATACATACATACTTATTAAAAATAAATAACAAGATAAAAATATCAATAATCAACAATTAATATTAAAATTAGTACTGCTGCCGATAAAAAAAAGAGATGAAGGACTTTCGAATGAGAGAAAACTATTTTGTCTTTCGCATATTTTTTTTTTAAATTTTAAGATAGAACATGTAAGGTAAAATATATATTATATTTAAAAGTTACATCAAATTCTAAGAAAGTGTTATCTATATAAATATGTATTGGAAAAGGCGAATTCAAAAAAATAAAAAAATTGAGTTTTTTAAATTTTCTCCAATTTATGAATTTTGTCATAATGAATAATATATATAAAAATTCAATAATTTATGATTATTTTATAAAAATTGAGAGTTTTTTAAATTTTTCTCTAATTTATGCTTTTTTCATAATTAATAATAT